GCACAGACGTAGCCAAGAGTGGTGAGTGGTGACGTGCTTCGCTTCAGTGACACGGAGTTCATTAACAATTTTCGCCTACTTCAGTGCAGAATAGTGACGTTTGTGGCTTGTTGATAACGTGTAGGTCGGATGAATGCACTTTGGCCGTTCAGACTGAAGTCACATGTCAAAAGATCAGATATGTATCAGTTTCAGGACCACATATCCAAGTGGCCTGAGTCGCATTTGAAAAAATCGGATCTGTGTCATTAAAAGATCAGATACAGGTCACATGGAGGCCAAAAAATCTGATTTGGGTCACTTCAGGCTGCAGTCTGAACGTAGCCTTGAAAATCGTTACATCCCTAATAGAAAGGTTTAATGCCACACTGTGAAACATTCCAGACAAAGCAATAACATGTCACTGGAGGAAAGCATTTGACGGACCCTCCTCTAGAAAAATTACACAGTGCACCTTTTAAAAATTGTGATTGATCACTATGAAGAAGCAAAAATCTGTATTATCCTTTTTCTCGTATCGCCCAGCCCAGTTCACAAACAGCTCTCTGTGTGCAGCCCTTTGATGTGGAAGAGTTTGATGGACACTCTGGGCCCAGTGAAGCGATGATGGCTTTTTCCGCACTGTTTCAGACGCTCAACAGGTCTCTAGACTCTGAAGTGCTCCTCCCTGAAACTGACCTCCAATGAACACTTTCTCCTATTCAGAGGTTTCATACCGAGTGGATTAAAGGTCCTGTATTACACAACTGTACGTGACTCTTGTGAGCTTTAAGTCATGTTATAATGTTGTTACCTCCTCAAAAGCATTCACACACATTTGGGTAACCCTTTTTTATTAGTCTGTCTACATCTCCAAAGCTTAAAGTCCTCTGTTCCCCCTTGTGATGTCATGAAGCTGTAGTTTTCAAGGCAAACAGCTATTTATTTAAGTTTTTTAATCTTTTTGTTTATTAAAGATGAGCAATTCCAGGGCTGAAATTATCCAAATGATACAAATAAAGATATTTGGAATCTGAAAACAGCAGAGTACAATTCGTGACTTGGACTCGAGTCAGATTTGAGTCACTATTTTTAGGACTTTAGCTTTGACTAAATAAACTATACTAAGAATTGGGACTCGACTTGGACTTGAGGCCTGTGACTTGAGAAGATTTGAGTAGCACTTTTAAATCTGAATTCTTTCTATTGTGACTGTAATGATTCACACTAAGATCTTGTCAAGACATTTAAAAAGGAAAAATTCACTAAATTAATTTCTACCACTCTTACATACTCTATAAATTCTCATATACAAATATACTATGATTTTTTAAGTACAATTTACTGTAAAAGTCATATAAGTTGTAAAAATCTAAGCTATATTTGGTACTTTGGTTTAAAGACTTGAAATGGCTTGAAGCTAAAAGCAGACGACTTGGACTTGACTTGGACTTATGGGCCACTGACTTGACACTCGACTTGGACTTGTCTGTATTTGACTTGGGACTTGACTCAGACTTGAGGTCAATGACTTGACACTTACTTGAGACTTGCAAAACAAAGACTTGGCCCCACCTGTGCAGTGGAGCGTCATCACGAGGTGGAACAGTGTGTTTTCTGTTTGAGAGAAGAACTAAAAAGCCTAAATATGCAATCCTAAATGTCTGAATAAACACACAACTCCAGGTTTGTTTGTGATGAGGAAACAAGATTATAACATAGATTAGAAAATGGCGTAATATGGAACCTTTAAATACTTTTAAAGGCCCAGAAATCAGATCATAATCAGATTTTTGTGTGCATGTAAACAAATCTACTGACATTTTTCATTACTTGTGTACATTTTGAAGTATTATGACGGAGACAAACTTGGCACTGCCAGTTTATTAAGGCTGAAGTTCACCTTGTTTCATTGGCCCTGTATTGCTCAGTCTAACACACACACACACACACACACACACACATGCACAACCACTACAGCTCCGCCTGTCATCCAATTTAGCTCACTCAGACTCATTGTTAAGAGAACATATTGGAAAACCATTAGGTCCCATTATGCTTTATAGCCACCCGATCCCCTCGCACTGTCTTTTAATCACAATCCCTGGTCCTGTGTGAGTGCGAGTGTGTTTGTGTGTGTTTGTGTGTGTGTGCGTCTCACCATCTCATCCCAGAATGCAGTAACGACCCCTCCTCCCCTCACCACCGTCTCACCACCGTCTCACCACCTCACCCATCACCCATCACCCTCCTTTATGGGCGAGTCAATAGCAGAGGCGCCAGCTATGTTGTGTGTTGTGCATTCATTAACCATGCTGGCCCATTGAGATCAAATAAAGAGGTTCGGCTGAAAACTATATCAATCTTTAAAGGTCGATTATTACGCAAAATGGATTCTTGTGAGCTTTGAGCCATGTTATAAAGCTGTTACCTCATCCAAAACATACCTGGAGTTGTGTTTTGTTTCATTCACACGTCTATTCACACATTCACATGTCTATTCCTGGGCTGGTATCCAAATGATTTTAGTGAAGGTGTATGGAGTTTAAAAACACAGTGGAGCACTTCCTGTAAGATGGAATAGAGTGTTTTCTGTTTGAGAGAAGAACACAGCCTAAATATGCAGGGTTTGTGAATGAAACAAAACAAAACTCCAGGTATGTTTTTGATGATAAAACAATATTGTAACATAGATCAGTAAATAGTGTATATGGGCCCTTTAATAATAATCAAATATTATTTTGAACATGACTTAAAGGTTGCATGGAGGATTTTTTTTTTGTTTAAAATTGTCATTGAAAGTTTAAAATACCATTACAGAGACGCAGCAGCCTTTTAATTATGATGACCGAAAAAAAAAGAAAGAATGAAAATCTATCAGTTGTGGACGTAGTGAGGCCAGATAAACATCAGCCAATAGAAAACGAGGCTCCCTCTTTTTCTATTGGCTGTTAGGTTGTCAGTCAAACTCCCTACATTTTTAGTGTAACTGAGTCGTCGGCGCTCGGGGATTATGTGGTTTATGCAGCGGTTCTTTGAGGCTTTTTCAAACTGTAGCTTCCTTGCAATTCGCACAAAGTTTGTTGCGGTGGCGGACGAGAATCCTCGACCAGTTCGCCGCAAAAGAAAGTCCGAAGGGTCTAAAAACTGACGCATCGGTCGCTAAAATATTTCTAGGCAGGTCACTTCAACAGTAATTCTAAACATGCACTGGATGTAAACAAATGTGATTTCTAGAGTAAAGAGGCGGGAGGAGATGTTTCTGCTGAGGAAGGTGGTGTCACACATGCACAACATTTGAAAAAGGACTGTCGCTGTATTTCGCTTCCCTTAAAAAATCCTCTATACAACCTTTAATTGTTGTCTTTGTTGAGTTCATAGTCTGTATATATGAGTGGACAGAGCTAATGAGCTAGTCCCCACATGCCAAATTGGAAGTTCGCCAGGAGGCTCTTCTGGCTCCTTCTGACTCTGGCTCCAATTGACTTGCACTGGGATCTTGACGCCTCTCTTTCTCTAACTGCTGCATTGAGCCTTGTCATTTTGGTCTTAAAATGTTCATATTAACCCGCTCTACATTATCCTTTTTTCATTATTATTTTTTTTATTTGCTATTTTGTCCGTCAAAAAAATTCTATTCATAACACAGCATCACAAGCTTCATTTAAGCGGAGCCGAACTCCATAGGTGTTAGTCCACTTCTTTTATACAGTCTATGGTTGAGTTATGAAAACTACAGACTAAAACAAGCTAACAGACTAAATTCAGAGTTCCCACAGTCATTGAAATTCTAGAAAAATCATGGAAATTGTAAATGTCGTTTTCCAGGCTTGAAAAAGTTATGGAATTTTAGAATCTCTTTCACTCAACTACAGCGTTCTGAAAAGTTATCAGGAAAGGTTTTCATTCCGCACTCTTCTCTCTAATTTATGTCTCTCTTTTTTAATTTTAATCCTTATGATTATTTATGTTTTGATTTGTTTTTATTATGATTTTAATGTATTTCTTATTCTGTAAAGCACTTTGAATTACTTTGCATGCGAATTGTGCTATACAAATAAACTTGCCTTGCCTATTATGATTATTTCTGAGCTTATGTGCCTTTTGTTTATAAGAGACGACAATAAATGCACTGACAGTATTTTGAATGTTAAAAACTATAATACCAAACCATAAGGTGAGTAGAAAGGGTTAACATTTCATATTTAACCCTAAAAGTCTGATCAATTCAACACATGTAAGTGCCGTAAACTCATGGAAAATTCACTTTTTTGTCTGTGAAAAAGTGGGAACTCTGTAAATTACAATGTCCAGGTGTTGTCATGTTATTATTCAGATTTCTGTTCAGTTTAGTTTATTTCAGTGCTCAAATATTCTAACAAATCAACATAAAACCCAGAATAGACTTGATAAACTAATTGTAATTCCCAAAGGGCTGGAAATGTACGCTCTTTTTTTTTTTACTTAGAAGCCAATATTGGCCATATGCGCTTCCACACACATCTTTCTAATGAGAAGATTTCATTCTGAGTGAGTAGTCCCTTAACTGTCATCACAGTTCTGTAAAACTCCCATAATCCATCTGTGGTGTGGCAGCATCCTAATGGCTTCACTTCCCGTTTTACACCACACTTTGTATTTCTGCATTTCCTCTTTCCTTTTATATTCTGTCTTTTCTTTTCCATACACCCTCTGGACTCAGTTTCACGCTGCTCCCATGTGATTCTTCAATCTTCCAATTACATTCTTCCCCGTTAATCTCCCTTTTTCTGGGCGGTTTTATCAGGATTGCAAATGACTGATACCGTAGCTGGCGAGTTATTGCTGACCATGATGATGTTAATGAAGATACTCTGAATGACAGTGGATTAGGCCGATAGCGATCAGCGTGACAATGGAGTTATGGGTGAAGATAGCTATCACGAGCCTAATAGCTGTGATGTTGACAAAGACTAAGGCGATAATGGGGGAAATGCTGGCTGGTTTCTGAGCTCCTCCTGTGTTTTTGCTCCTCACCGCAGATGGAGAGAGACAGACGGAAGGGACTGATGCCAGCCGAAAGAGAGACACGCGCTCATCCGCCGGACACCACAAGAACGAAGACACCAGCGACAGCAGAGAGGACGAGGCAGCGGTAAGTCCAGGCTCTGAGTTTGTTTACTGATATTTTTCTCGCTGTTGTTGTGTGTGTCATTCTGCGTTGAGTTCTACAAATCATCTATTTATCTGGGATGGCTCTCGCTGAAAATGATGGAAACATGTGGAACATCATGACAACTATTTGAATCTGCAAAAAAGAAACAAGCTGAAACTCAAACTTTTGTTCCATCAAGTTGAGAGAAAAGAACAGACATCATCCCTGTCCACAAATGCACAAACACTTCATTTCTGCAAGTTTTTCACAAATCAGATATCATGACAATCCATTGTGTTGTGCAAGTTTAGATGTGTGGCCAATAACTGATATTTGCCAGTATTAAGGCTACGTTTACACATAGCCGTGTAAGTTGAGAAACAAATATTTCCCTCCCTCTGTTTTCCAAAGTAACATCTTGCACACAGCATCGTTTTCAAAAAAGTTTACATCAACCCGCATAAATACGCCATCAAACACATCATAACTACACCAATCCTCTGGGCAGCACCTGGATCAGATTCAAACCTGTAGCATTTATTTCAAAAAACGTGCATTACTGAGTGGGCTCGCCTCTTCACATCTTTTTATTCATTTTTAACATCTGTTAAAAAAGTGACAACATTTCTGCCCTCCAAGCCTCGTTCGTCTCTGGTCATGGACATGATCTGTGTGTGCAAATGCAAACACATGAAAAGCGTTTGCATCAGAAGAAATGTGACTGCTTCGTCATCATCATCAGAGCAAAAGGGAAACATTGGTCGCACTTTCGGCGCGTCTGCTGCCTAAAACTGTTTATTTCACTTCACACGCAAACGCCAAACTGTAGTTTTCCAGAATCTCCATTCTAGCCGGAGTTTTTAGAAAGATTCAGATTCAGAGGCAAATTCGCTGTTTGCATGTTAAAGATGGGTACAAACGAAGGTGAATGTTCGTGTAAATGGGGCCTAAGCTTTTAAAATCCATAGCGAGGACCAAATTTATGATAAGTTATAGATAAGTTCACAAATTCACTTTTTGCTTTTGTAAAACTAACAAATGTATTTAACTATGATATTAATTCATATTTTCACTCATTAATCTGTTTAATAAGACAGATCTAAAGCACTGAGGACAAACAGGGAACAGGACCAAATATCGACTAAGTTTTCAACACTGGTCCCATACGATATCTGAAAATCCTCATATGAACCATCCCAAATTAAAATAAAATCTACTTACAATCTGCGAAATGAATGCATAAAAGACTACACTGTGTACAGCTACGACACTTGAGAGCAACAGTTGTTTAGCTAGAGTAATAATAATAATAATTAAAGCCGCAAGCGGCGTCGAACGGCCCTCGCCCGCCCGCGAACGCCAACGCCGCCGCCGCGAACGCCGTGCCCAAATAGTGTGCCCCGCCAACACCATACCGTAAACGCCGTGTCCGCAAACTCTGTGCCTGCAAATGGCAAAATGACATAGTACGCTTTTAGATGTTCTTTGCACCCCCTACTGGCCAACCTTGAAAAATTCCCATGTCAGCAATATATGTTTTTTCTTCTAGTCATTAATAGAATTGAATTCCCAAATTTGGTGCAGATCCGACAATGTTGATGTTTCATGTCTATGGTAGGGGGCGCTATAGTGTTTTTTCATATGTTTTATAGTGTATTATATTCAGACTGAGATCACACATTAGTGATTCAAATTTCAACACGATCGGACTAAGTCTGTGCGAACAGGAGCAAATAATGTCACTTTGAAATTCGCCAAAAACTTTTGACCAAATTTTGCAGCTTCGCCGCACGTAAACCGTGACAGTTATCAAAAAAAATCAGCTAACTTTAGATGTTCCACTTGTCTAGATGATGTACGGTGATTTTCAGCCCTGTGGGTGAAGCGCCTTCAGAGGAGTTCGTTCAAATGCAATGTCAACGAAAATGCGGACTGAAATTTCAATCCAAGATGGCCGCCTTCTGGTTTGTCAGGGGGCGTGGCCATAATAACATTTTTTGTTTGTCTTGACATGATGAATGTGTGTACCGAATTTCATGGCTCTATGACAAAGTTGACCGGGACGTCTCCCATAGGCGCCAAATTTTTGAGTCTTTGCGCCCCTGCTGGCCAACAGTGAAAATGGTATCATGTCCATAATATAATTTTTTGCTCGTAATCATGCATAGAATTTAATTCCCAAATTTGGTGCAGATCCGACAATGTTGACGTTTCATGTCTATGGTAGGGGGCGCTATAGTGTTCACTTTTCATATGTTTTATAGTGTATTATATTCAGACTGAGATCACACATTAGTGATTCAAATTTCAGCACAATCGGACTAAGTCTGTGCGAACAGGAGCAAATAATGTCACCTTGAATTTAGGCGAAATTTTTACCGAAATTTGCGGCTTCGCCGCACGTAAACCGTGACAGTTATCAAAAAAAAATCAGCTAACTTTAGATGTTCCACTTGTCTAGATGATGTACGGTGATTTTCAGCCCTGTGGGTGAAGCGCCTTCAGAGGAGTTCGTTCAAACGCAATGTCAGCGAAAATGCGGACTCAAATTTCAATCCAAGATGGCCGCCTTCTGGTTTGTCAGGGGGCGTGGCCATAATAATATTTTTTGTTTGTCTTGACATGACGAATGTGTGTACCGAATTTCGTGGCTCTACGACAAAGTTGACCGGGACGTCTCCCATAGGCGCAAAATTTTGGAATTTTCCAGGTGGCGCTGTGTCGCCATTTTTTTATGCCCGTGCACGAAACCTATATTTTATCGAATTTTTCGCCACTTCTGAATATTGTGCCAAGTTTGGTGAGTTTTTGAACGTGTTTAGGGGGTCAAATTAGAGCTCAAAGAGCAGAAGAATAATAAAATAAAATAATAATAATAATAATTAAAGCCGCAAGCGGCGTCGAACGGCCCTCGCCCGCCGCGCCCGCCGCACCCGCCGCGCCGCGCCCAAACGCCGCGCCAACAAATGGTGCGCCAACACCATACCCTAAACGCCGTGTCCGCAAACTCTGTGCCTGCAAATGGCAAAATGACATAGTACGCCTTTAAATGTTCTTTGCGCCCCCTGCTGGCCAACCTTGAAAAATTCCCATGTCAGTAATATATGTTTTTTCTTCTAGTCATTAATAGAATTGAATTCCCAAATTTGGTGCAGATCCGACAATGTTGATGTTTCATGTCTATGGTAGGGGGCGCTATAGTGTTTTTTCATATGTTTTATAGTGTATTATATTCAGACTGAGATCACACATTAGTGATTCAAATTTCAACACGATCGGACTAAGTCTGTGCGAACAGGAGCAAATAATGTCACCTTGAAATTAGGCAAAATTTTGACCAAATTTGCAGCTTCGCCGCACGTAAACCGTGACAGTTATCAAAAAAAAATCAGCTAACTTTAGATGTTCCACTTGTCTAGATGATGTACGGTGATTTTCAGCCCTGTGGGTGAAGCGCCTTCAGAGGAGTTCGTTCAAACGCAACGTCAGCGAAAATGCGGACTGAAATTTCAATCCAAGATGGCCGCCTTCTGGTTTGTCAGGGGGCGTGGCCATAATAAACATTTTTTGTTTGTCTTCACATGATGAATGTGTGTACCGAATTTCATGGCTCTATGACAAAGTTGACCGGGACGTCTCCCATAGGCGCCAAATTTTTGAGTCTTTGCGCCCCTGCTGGCCAACAGTGAAAATTTCATCATGTCCATAATATACTTTTTTGCTCGTAATCATGCATAGAATTTAATTCCAAATTTGGTGCAGATCTGACAATGTTGACGTTTCATGTCTATGGTAGGGGGCGCTATAGTGTTCACTTTTCATATGTTTTATAGTGTATTATATTCAGACTGAGATCACACATTAGTGATTCAAATTTCAGCACGATGGACTAAGTCATGTGCGTGTAATATATTTTTTTATTTTTGGGAGGAGTTTTAGCGCCCTGCTGGCCAACGGTGAAAAATTCGCCATGTCCATAATATACTTTTTTGCTCGTAATTATGCATAGAATTTAATTCCCAAATTTGGTGCAGATCTGACAATGTTGATGTTTCATGTCTATGGTAGGGGGCGCTATAGTGTTTTTTTCATATGTTTTATAGTGTATTATATTCAGACTGAGATCACACATTAGTGATTCAAATTTCAGCACGATCGGACTAAGTCTGTGCGAACAGGAGCAAATAATGTCACCTTGAAATTAGGCCAAAACTTTGACCAAATTTTGCGGCTTCGCCGCACGTAAACCGTGACAGTTATCAAAAAAAATCAGCTAACTTTAGATGTTCCACTTGTCTAGATGATGTACGGTGATTTTCAGCCCTGTGGGTGAAGCGCCTTCAGAGGAGTTCGTTCAAACGCAATGTGAACGAAAATGCGGACTGAAATTTCAATCCAAGATGGCCGCCTTCTGGTTTGTCAGGGGGCGTGGCCATAATAACATTTTTTTGTTTGTCTTCACATGATGAATGTGTGTACCGAATTTCGTGGCTCTATGACAAAGTTGACCGGGACGTCTCCCATAGGCGCCAAATTTTTGAGTCTTTGCGCCCCTGCTGGCCAACAGTGAAAATTTTAACATGGCCATAATATACTTTTTTACTCGTAATCATATATAGAATTTAATTGCCAAATTTGGTGCAGATCCGACAATGTTGACATTTCATGTATATGGTAGGGGGCGCTATAGTGTTCACTTTTCATATGTTTTATAGTGTATTATATTCAGACTGAGATCACACATTAGTGATTCAAATTTCAGCACGATCGGACTAAGTCTGTGTGAACAGGAGCAAATAATGTCACCTTGAAATTAGGCAAAATTTGACCAAAATTTTGCGGCTTCGCCGCACGTAAACCGTGACAGTTATCAAAAAAAATCAGCTAACTTTAGATGTTCCACTTGTCTAGATGATGTACGGTGATTTTCAGCCCTGTGGGTGAAGCGCCTTCAGAGGAGTTCGTTCAAACGCAACGTCAGCGAAAATGCGGACTCAAAT